GAATCCTACCCCGCCTAGTATCTCAAATTATCCTTTAGATTTTAAAGTACATTATTTTATTTTACTGACAACTCCGATTAGTAATTCTAATTTTAAGTTCTCTAAAAAATAATAAATAAATAAAATAATTCCGATATTGATTTCATCATTCCATTTTTCATACAGACATATAATTTTCGGGTAGGATTCAAATTTAAAAGATTATCCATTTATTGTGCACTATTTTGTTATTGTTATTGCTATTGTTGGTTTTTATTCTAAGTTAATATGTTTTTTTTTCTGTACATCTTTAAAACTTTCGCTTTAATCTGTTCAGTTATAATTTATTGTCCATCTTTAGTGATTTATTATTGCATTTCAGCTCCATAGTTAATGCTAGCTCTTTTTGTCCATATATTTTCGTTTTAAATTGTATTTTGTTTTTAGAAAATAAATTGTTAGGGGGTTCTGTTATAAAATATGTCGACCGAGAACACGTAATCTAGGCCGCATTTTTATAAGATATTCACCTGACTCGAATAATCGACAAAACGCCGGGGAAAATAAGAAGATTTTCTCAGGATCTGGAGCGGCATTCGTGGTGTGTTTGGAGTTTACGAAGGAATTGTATTGGATTTATACTCGTGGTGAGTACTTTCAGTTTACGTTTTCATTTCGTCAAATGCTTCTCACACTCGTATGGTCATAGCGTAAAAGTCGCTGTTATCGCCGTTGAATATCGATCGCGTGCGCGCGAGTGGCGGTGTTCAAACGGCCGGGCGAGGTCGATGAAATTCTTTTGTCCGGTCACGCGTTCGGGACAGGCTAAGCCTTGAATGGAATTCTTTCGTTTCATTAGGCTCGATCGGGTCCGAGGACTGTTACTATCGGCGCCCTAATGCTCTTACCGGCAATGCGTGAACGGATTAAGAACTTATATACCCATTTTCGTACGTAATACCCGTATTGCCCGATATATTTTCAACTGTTTGCGCGTTTGAATCAGCGTAAACTCCGTCCATCTCGTTATTCATTATATTTATCGTTGTAAATTTTGTATTGTCTCGTGTACCACTGCTTGTGGTTTTCCGAAAATAGGTTTCTGTCTACGCTTATAAGGACTTGTTACTACGCGCCTAAAGGTTATAGTATAGTTTACCGGCATCGAAATAAACGCTGTTGAAACAAAAGGGGTAATGTTAAAGGCATAGGTCAATTTATGATTAGTTTTTAAATGCTTTTGTGTGGTTTTATTATGATTATTATTTTTGTATCGTCAGTTCCATTTCGCTTAATATATAAAGTAATAAATAAAATGAACGTATTTACCTCGATTTTTTAATATTTGACGTCCTGGGAACGATGTTTCGGACGTTGATGACGCTAATGACGATAGCGTGGGGACGCTATAGTCTTTTATAGCGAGCAATCGTTCCCTTTGGTAAATTATGATCGGAAACCAATCGCGGCTCGCGAATGTATCGATTTTTTTCGAGACAATGAGGACGATGATCCGACGGTGACGGTACCGCGTCTTTTCGTGACGTCACGCGGTCGAATGCCTCCGATTGGGTGAAATTGGGTGAAATTATGATCGGAAACCAATCGCTACGACGCTCTTCGGCCACGCCCCTTTCCGATCAAAGAGAGGTATATACAACATATATCATCCCAACTCAACAATACCGAGACCAGCCTATTATTTTGTGTGCCGTGTTACTGTACCCCCCTGGCCCCACTATAATGGAATCGTCTGACCTACTTATTTTCTTGGAAGTAGTTGTTGACAGCGCAACAGTTTGAAATGACGGACTAGCCAGTGTTTACATTTTGAGAAAGGTTGAAATTGGAAGCTACAGTGAAATAATACTTGCCTGACTGTCGGATCTGAACCCTGCAGAATCGAAGAATAGATCCTTTTCTGATCGACCTACGACCTGTAACTCATCAAAGACTGTTGATTTTTATGACAAGCGAGTGTCGGTCATGATTTCACGTACGTGCCTCCGCCCGCGCATGCGACTAAAGAGTGACAGTGCTGCTTTGTGTACACGCCACTAACTTTGGATTCCTTGGAACATTGTTTTGATCACTTGGGACTGGATTATGGCCAATCCTTTTTCAAATTGTACGAACATAGATCTCCAACAGTGACAGCCGTGCGGGGAAGCTAGCAGAGAGCAGATTTCTGGTGGTTCAAGTTTTGACATCTATTTTTGGACATAATGGAGAATGAGTGGCATACATTTGGTGTTTCTCCCGGCCGTTATCTTGTGAATTTCCCACTCTAAACGGAAACAAATATACCATTTACCAGGTAGGCAAATGAGTGAGTGAGTGAGTTATTATTTACGTCACGTCGGCAATATTTCAGCCATATTGTGACAGAACATATGTGACACTGAGGTAGACAAATGTTTACTGACGTTTTGCTGCAAATGTTGTATTGATAGGGATGTATTTTTACAAGGCTATCTGATTTCTAAGTTATATATTGTTTGTTTATGTTTGGGGCTGTGTATTGTAATTGAGTTTAAATATTTTTATAATAGAAGGTAATATGATAGTGAGTTTCCCTAATAATTGTGCAGGAAAAATCATATTATTGTATTTTTCGAGGTTTAATAAATGTTTTGTAAGCATTTACATCACGTCTGTTGTGTTGTTGTTAGCTATGTTGGTGGTCAAGCTGAAGTAGTGCGGCAGTGTTGTATACGTGCGCAGTGAAACGCCGTGAAATCAGACGCATTTTCAATCCAAAATTGATATCGTCTGATGTTACTGATTGACCAATAAAATTCGAGCATTTCACGTAGCCTTGGTAGAATTCATGCTAACGCATGACACTTACGACTATTTTAGCGCTAAGAGAGCTTCGAAAATCTAGGCCCTGATGCGGTTTGGTAAGAGGAAGTAATCCTCTGAGCAGACGTTAAGAGTCAAAGTGAGACTACTCTTCACACCTTAGATGTCGAATTATGTGGAGAAATTCTGGACGATAATTTCCCTCGAAGTACGTGATTTGTTTAAAATAATGGATTTTTACAGTTAGGTATAAAAAACACAAACAGTGACCAATAACACATCCCTCCATGATACATCTGATGTCGTAGGTGTTACTGACAGTAAACGTCTTATATAAGGTCAGTCAGAACGACAATATTTGATCGTAGATCGATGTTCATGATGTTGATCACTGGATGATTTTGGTCTAGACCCGGTTATTTAGATACGTCCGCCATATGTTTTTATTGTATCCCAATTGCGTAGATCGATGCTCATGATGTTGATCACTGGACTGTCTAGTCCAGATATAGCACCGCCATATACATTATCATGATGTTTTTGTTCACTTTTGTTCAGTAAAAATACATGATTATGTACAAATCATATTCCAGTGGGAAAGACAGTTAATATAATGCACTGGAGGTGATTGAATGAAATGCGAATCATAGGTAAATCCCGCACTGTAGGTTCCACGAACTTATGCTCATGGCAACAATGTCAATGAATTGGATTAACGTACGTATGTCTTTCCTTACCATTGTATATGTTTTATGACACCCCTTTTCAGTTACGTTTATATGAACATATGTTGGCATGTTTTGTTACGTCTATTGTTTGCTTGTGTATGTGTTAGATCCGTTTGATATTTCGACAGCCAAAACCGTTAACCTTCACGTTCCAAATTGTCTGTCAGTCCTGAATTGTCATGCCGAAGTGAAATAATGTGAGGTCTTTCCCTATCTCAAGTTCCCCCGCCGATGTGAAAATACATACCCTGATATGATAAAAGAAACTCTTACATGCTCAGGAAAGGTTTAAGTTTTCTTTATCTGAGCAGATATGCAAAATGTACACACTTAGTGCCTTGGGATCATTTTCCAAAAGACAACGTGAAAGTATTATATTGTGATCTTGCCAATGTGAGTGAGTGAGTGATTACTTAACGTCACATCGGCAATATTTCAGCCATATCGTTACAAGAACATAGGTGACATTGAAATGGAATAAAAACCTGTCTACGAAGGACAGTAAAACAACTAAAGGTAGTGTGGAAAATTAAAACTAATACCACTATTTGGACAATACAATATAATACCAGGCTGTAGATCGCCAACAACTGAGGGTAGATCACCATACTAGGGACCATAGGGACTTACATTACTTCTGCTACCTGCATGGTCCCTAGCTGGATTTATATCACCCCTTCAGCCGCTGGTGATTGAAGTCAAATTTAGCCAAAATCAAAATGATAAGAATACTGCAGCTGGTAATATTTAAATTCTTGCCAATCTTGTGCAAGCAGCTATAAAATTTCAACATCAATTTCAATGCACATTCCGTTGTTATGGCTCACAGTGAGAGGGTGACTTAACATTTCTAGTCAAGTCAGTGTTGCGTGCTGTATTTATAGAGATCCATGGGACACACCGAGCTTGTCTGCAGGGCGTGAAAACAGTAAATAGGACACCCCAGTTTATAAAGTCTACTTGCCGTTAAACTTTCCTTGATTCCGTACTTCCCGCCTCTGTCAAAATACCAAATTATATGCACTGTTATGACCACATTATAATTCAAAATTTCTCGTCTATTCCGTGTTGCTTGAATATGGCATGGATTGCACAATTCTCGTTTACTACCGTACAAACAGCGACGCCTTTGTATGTCGCCCTTTATATCACAAGGTTTATACATGACAATCAGAGCATGAAATATTTATTACAAAAGATCCTCGTGATATTATGGTGAGAAAACTGACAGCGCTAGTCAACAGTACATGTACTTTGATGGGCACAAACATTTATAAAGAGTAAACATGTCCTCCTAGATAACAAATGACCATTTCGTTTTTGTTGTACCTTGAGCCAACATCAACTATTGATTAAAACGTTCTTTTGTTAAGTTATGAATACTTGTTAACTGATTCTTTACGATGTATCAACATTTGAGAGCGTCTTGTATTATGAATGCTGTATAGCGTGACCCACATTCTTCAAAGTAACAATGACAAACTGTGCCAATAAAGATGAAAAGTAATCAACGGAGCCTTTTATCCTTCTCTTGAGTTAATCGTGAACGGGATATTTAAGTTTAGTTCGCACAATGCTGTTGAACTGTAAGCACAGCTGATAAAAATATGCACGTTTATTCGACTCTATGCAGCTAGGCTAGATATTTCGGATTGTGTCGAATGTTCAAGTACAAAAGGTTTGGCTACCGCCATACATATCTGAATACACAAAACGTGAAAGGTTTTCTACGAGGTCGACGGCTGAGAACACACAGGGATAGGTGTGCTCCACACATTACCCAGCTCTCCACGGTTTCATAACTCAAGGTATGATTTGTCTTTATACATGGTTGTTTTATAAGCTGAATCTAATTGAATAGGTTGTCTAAATCAGCTTCTTAAAACTAATATGTGTTGTTGAAGACGATTTCTCTATCGGATCTATCTATGAATCCCGACATCATAACACTCACATAAATGGAGGCAGTGACAATAATCCGGTGTCAGAATATAACAGTAACATTTCTAATATGATTCGCTGCTTGCATGTCATTGTATCCCATGCGTCGGTTGCTGTGTGTGGTTGCCTTGTCTAGAGTTGTTGATGTACAGACAATAATAATTTGCTAGGGTATTGCTGAGTATTGCGATCATCAATGAGCAAACTCAATCTATCGTGAGTGTTTGAACCACTTCCACTCTCCGATTTCAAGAATACTGTAAAATATCTTTCAATGTCTTTCACTGAAATATTTAATCACAATTTAGCGATTGCACACATGTTCACTCACTCATTCACTCACTTACTCACCACCCTTGAAGATCCGGCTTAAAATTGATCTTCAGTAACCCATGCATCGTAAGAGGCAAAGTAACTAACGGGATCGGGTGGTCGGGCTCGCTGACTTGGATGACACATGCCATCGTATCTCAATCTTTCGTAGATAGATGCTCATGATGTTGATCACTAGATTGTCTGGTCCAGACACGATTATTTACAGACCGCCGCCATATAGCTGGAATATTGCTGAGGGCGACGTAAAACTAAACTCATTCACTCACTCTCTTCTGGAAACCCAAAAGTCAAGAAACTCTCCGCACTGTGGCCACTTTCATAGGCCTGCTCATGGGCCTGCCCAGGGACGAACAGTGGCCCATGGGTGTGAATGTTTATGTATAATGATCCATAGTACTATAATTTATATTTTGAAGGTAGTAAATTAATGACAGTATGTTTATAAGTATCATGACAGAAACTTAAACTCATTGTGACGTAGTGCGGCTTATTTAGAGCGATATTAAAATATCTCGACCTTGGGTGAAAAAATTTGGCCTATGGGCGAGAATTTCTACTTTCACTCCAAATTCATGTGGGTTTTTTAGGTTTGGAATGAAAGTATGTTTATGTCATGACTCAAAAGTTAATCATTTAGACTTAATTCGACTAGTTTAGATCGGTATTAAAAAAATCTCGCGGTTCACTCCCAAAAGACAGACTCAATCAGTACGCTAATTAGCTGAGCCATGCCGTCCACCCCTATTTAATTAATGAGCTGATCCAGAATCGCTGCAGGGTATGCATAGTAACACCACACTCCTATCTCCTGTGCCTTTCACAAAACATATTACTAATCCTTTTACTGAACAGAAAGTTTATTCTCAATAATCACATATAGTGACACCGAGAACATACAGCATATTGATACATATTATAACATTGAACAAAGTCCAGTTTGATAAATTTGGCAACTTTAGAGTTAAGAGGTGAATAATCATTTTTCATTAGATAAATATTTTTTTCAATAGTAGGATCTTTACAGAGCTAATAAAAAATTGACACTATGCATAAGCTCACCTCAATAAGCTCATTTACATTTCCGAGGCTAGTTACATCATGTTCATGAAGCTCGGTTGTCACGGCGGCTTATCTGATTGGCTACTGTGAGAATGAGCCAGCAAACGGGGGTAATAAAATCAACGGAAACATAGATGCATCCAGGGTATAGTGATTTTTTATCGGAACGTATACCCTGGAGATTATTGAGGATGGATCAGGAGATGACTGAAAATGTAATCAGAAATATGGCTATTCCGAGATGCCGCTTTGCAATGTGTTTAACTGCAACAATCTGCAAATGATCCATAGTTCTATAATTTGGATGTGATAGGGTTTCATAGAACCACAGACAAATACTACCTTGTGATGGAAACTGTGTATCTGGCATACTGTTTCAATGATTCATTGGTTCAAAAATCAATTGAATCTATTTTACACAGAACGTGATTTTGACATGTACAAGTATTAAAAAAAGGCACTTTTCGGGAAAGAGACAGAAAATATACGATATATCACAGAAATAGGGAGGCGAGGGACGTGTTATCGTGAAACATCATGCTCTTTTTTTCAAATAACCTGCGCTCACTGGACCGAGCGACCTACCCTCTCTCATAGCAAGACTTGAATAGAGGATACAGGGGTACTTAGGCATGACTGACTGGCGGACTGTTCTATTCTCTCTCATAGCACGACTTGAATAGAGGATACATGGGTACTCGGGCATGACTGACTGGGTGACTGTGCAGTAGTGGTGGTCCGATTAATTGAAATAATCGAAGATTGGTCGTAGAGACTAAACGACCAAGCAATTGATCATAATTTCTCACAATCGAACATAAACAATTTTGGAACATTTGTTTTCATTAACAATATTTTACACATGGTTTGGTTTGTCTGTTACATTTTGTAAGCACTACAAGCTCGTTTCAAGTCATGATTGAATTTATCTTAAAGGCTCCAAGACATTTATGTTCCTAACATACTAGTCATCCTTTAAAGATGTGAAATGTTGCCAAAAAGCCCAAAAAGAACTACATGGTTTTTTTCCCTTATTTTTATGTGCATTAACAAATTATTTTCGATGATTGATCGGTTGAAATGAACCAGTCATCAATTATGAGATTTTAACCAATTCCCAACACCACTGTGCAGTCTCACCTCACGGCTAGATCGAAAATAATTTGTCATGTATGACATTAATAGATTGATATACATGAGATTGATGTAGACAACATATCATTGGGGATTGAGAGATATAGCGAAGCAGAATGGGGTGGGACGCGTTAGCCGTTGTAACCCCAGAAAACGTACTGGATTCACTCATTCACTCCCTCACTCCTCCTTCCCTCACTCAGTCCTCTCCTCCCTCCCTCCCTCCTTACTCCCTCCTCACTCAATCCTTCTCTCAATTCAGCCTGCCTCCCAACCTAAACTCAACAGGTACATTGGTAAATACCCCATTCAAAAGACAGCTCTATAGGTCAGGCCTGACTGACCACCTACAGTCATTTTGTCACTCTATAGCTTAACTCTAAAGGTCTGTCTCTATGTGCCAGATGAAAATGTGATATTTTGACAGTAAATACATTTTGCCTTCCTTTTCACGTCAGATTGCGTGCTGAGTGTATACAGCATCGAATGTGATAAGGGACGAACACAGTTGTGTCGATATGCTATCGGTGTCGCAGTATACATAGGAAAGGCTATGAAGGCAAGAGCCAGAACACGTCTGTTGTCATAGATTATTCACTGAGATATTAACACCTTTCTGTATAGAGTTTAACTATTTGAGCAGCCAATATGTATAATCCCGGTCGTACTTCAACTGTATTTTAGGTGAGGTAAAAGGTATCCTTATTTTGACTATTTGAATAGACAACTGTGTATATGACCCGTGAAGATCCGGGGTAGAATTCTTCAGCAACCCATGCTTGCCATTTCTTGACTAACGGGATTTCGTTGACACAGTAGGTCAACGATGTGTATATCACATGTACCAGACTCTTATAGACCGACGCCATTGTGTATGTCACCACACTCTCCATACCCTCTGCGATGAAGGAAAATGACCCTCTTTCTGGGTCAACATAATCTTCTGATCTGGCGTTTTACAAGTGGATAAGCCTTTACTGACAGAAAATAAAACAGACATGCATGAGAGAAAATCTATTTTTTATTGAAACCAAAGTTGTGATGCAAATTAACACATATTCTCAATGTTTTAGTTTTAAGTATACAACAAAGTGAATTCTATTCGGTAAGGTAAATGTCATGTAGTTCATTCCTGAAACCAACATCAGTTCGGAAATGTAACACCTACAGTGTCTCGGCGTCAGTCGACCGCCTCTGTGGTTTAGTGGTTGGAGCGTCCGCCCGGAGAGCGGAAAGTCGCGGGTTCGATCCCTGCCTGACGCTCGGCATTAATGGGTACAACAAGGACTGGTCGGCTCGGAGTCAGTATAATGTGTCTGAGTGGGGTATTCATGCTTCACTGCGGCATGGTATCTCAGTGGGCTAGCACTATTAAACCAGCTGAAGTCTGGGCTAGTACAAGCAGCCGCACATACACATACACATGCATTGACGTCGTCATATGAGCGAAATATTTTCAAGCACGACATTAAACCCAATTTCACCTCACCTCACCTCACCTCACCTCACCACACCTCACCTCGGCATCAGTAGTAATGAAATTGAGGTGTCATCCACAAAACACACTCACACATCCCAATTCATGTTTAAGGATGTGTATGGCTGTGGAAGTTATGTGAGTATGAGTATGACCCGTTCTTACCGCTCTGCCTTTTCCAAATACAGATCACGTACTGCTCCTCTGCATTTGGAAACCGGCAGATATACAGATGTGAATGTGAATAAGAGGGTATGTTTTCAGTGTAGTGAGAGCGTTGAGGATGAAAGAGTGTTGAGGATGTTCTGTTGTATTGCCCTATGTATGATGATTTACGTGAAAGTATATATGAAAATGTCTGTTTTGCTATCCCAACTTCTTAGATCTCTGTGATGATGATAAATTAGTTTATTTTTTTAACACCATGCATAGTTAAGTTCCAAAACCTCTTTTATATCTTACACAGACGAAAACATATTTTATACGGATATAATTTATACTGTCTATAACTATACCATTATCTATTTTTAGTGTTTATAATGCATTAATACATTGTAGTCTCCCATAACCCTAATAGGGTGGTTCATTTATATGCCATATTTTATATATGTCTTTAATCAATAGAGGATATTATATGAGCGCCCATGTCATACTATGTTTACGATACGAGTGCCTAAATGTTGGTATATCCCGAGCGACTGTGGGGGATATGCCGATATTTAGGAACGACAGAAACTGTCACTGACATAATTTTCAAACCAAAGCATTAGATTTTCAGTTATTCCTATGGATTCAAGTTTAGATAAAAACCCTACGTGCCAAGCACGATCGAATGCCTTGCTGATATCACAAAAGATGACCTTTACCCTCATCGAGAGCCTTTGATAAAACGTGATAAAGTTCGGGTAATTGGTACACTGTGGAGTCCCCGGGTTTAAATCCAGATGGGCGTTTCGATATCATATCATTATCGACAAAGAACTTGTAACATGCTTCAATATACACTTTTCAAATGCTTTAGCCAAACAATAAGACAGAACAACTGGCCTATATAATTGCTATAATCATGCACACTTCCTATCTTATGAATAGGGACAACTGCCGAATATTTTCCAATATCGGGAAATTGAGAATGTTTAAGGATAAATTAAATAGCTTTGTAACGGGTACATGAAAAGGCCATGCTAAAACTTTTAATAATTTATTGCTGATACCATGCTGGTGTCTAAAAAACAGCAAGACGTCTAATACTTCATCTTCCGTTAGAAAAAAATGTATCTAATTGGTTTTCGCTGAAAAAGGGAGGAGGTGATTCTGTATTAGGTTTGTCGATTTGGACTTGGTCTGTGAAATATTCATTGAACGCACTGAACGCAATGCCATCTGTATCTTCCAGAACAATACCGTTATGGGTGATAGGTGGGAACTGTTTACCCGAATTTCTATTTTTCTTGATATGCTCATTAAGTAAACGCCACCATGATTTCGTTCCTCTCTGGGGCAGTGGGGTATCCTAGTGGTTAAAGCGTTGGCTCGTCACGCCGAATCCCCACATGGGTACATTGTGTGAAGCCTATTTCTGGTGTCCCCCGCCGTGATGTAGCTGGAATATTGCTAAAAGCGGCGTAAAACCAAACTCAGTCAGTCAGTCAGTCGTTCCTCTCTCAGTGTTAATGATATCATCAAGCTTCAAACACTTGCACGTTTAGCTTATCGAACTTCCGAAATGACTTTTTTCTAGCGACTTTCAAACATTCCCAATAATAAGTATCGTTTTTTGCCTTTTTGCAACTTTATGTAGGCGGTTTCTTTTCCTCATTAATTTTCGCAGATATCCGTTCTTCAATATGCAATCTCGAGGTCTTATAACGACTTCTTTATTTGGAATATAGTTATTGATTATTCTAAGATTCCTAGCGGAAAAAATACATTATTAGACAATAAAGGTATAGTTTTATGACGTTATCCCGTTACTGCGCCATTCTAGTGTGCCCCCCTCGTAATCGAACCATTTTACATTACGTCACAATGTAAGCGACGTCACGATGCATGTCAGTTGTCATTGCCTCGTACGGCCTCCTACAGTAAACTACCCCGTTGCATCCCGTTTCTTGGTTTGCTTCAGGCAGCTAACATCACTGGTGCAAACATTACGTTTTATGTTATGTCGCTCTACCACCATGTACAGGTTGCTGGCGGTCTGTAGCCTATATTTATATTGGGTATTTTCCGAACAGTGCTATTAGTTTAACAATAAATGCTAGCTATAAATCTGACCGTGATGCTCTAGTCTAGTATAATTAGTCCACTTATATCCCATGATACTTATAAACATACTTTCATTCATAAACAACCTCCTAAACATGAAACAATACATTAAATTGGAGCAAAAGTAGAATATGTCGCCCATGTGCGAAAACAGTTTGGCCCATGGGCGAGATATTTCAATACTGCTCTAAATTAGCTGAATCAAGTCACAGAGTTGCATTTTCTGTCACGATCATTTACAACCTCCAAAACATGAATTCTGAGTCCATGATGTAGTTTAAGATTTTAGTTATAGTTTTTACCATGTTTTCAACACAACTGCATGTTGATTTTTTTCAGTTGGTTTTGATAGGAAGTGGCCACAGTTCAGGGAGTTTCTGGACTTTGGTGTTAAAGTGTTAACAAAATTGGGTGTTAAACTCACTCACTCACTCACTGACTCATACAATACTATTTTATTCATTTCACAGACAAACCACGATGCAGATACTGCTGTACACCCTGGTCTCCTTCCTCCTCTCAATAACACAGCTAGCTTCTGGACAGGAAGTTGACACCACGCATGGCAAAGTTGTTGGTCTCAGATCTACTGTCCTTGGCAAGACCATCCACACGTATTACGGTATTCCGTATGCCAGACCACCCATAGGTGATCTCAGGTTCAAGTACCCACAACCAATGGATTCTTGGAGCCCGGAAGTCAAGGAAGCACGTTCAATGAAACCATCTTGCCTTCAAACAGTTCAACCTTCACCTGGAATGCCCTGGAGAGCAGTTCCGTCCAACTTCAGTGAAGATTGTCTCTACATCAATGTATGGGCACCAGCTAATGTCACAACTAGTAGGAAACTTACAACCATGGTCTGGATCTTTGGCGGGGGATATCAGAGCGGATCTATGAACACGCCTTTGTATCATGGTCAGTATCTTGCTGCTGAAAACAACGTCATCGTAATGTCCATGAACTATCGTTTAGGAGCTCTTGGATTTCTATATCTTGGACCTGACACGTTTCCTGGTAACCAAGGTCTCATGGATCAGGCTCTTGCTCTGCAGTGGATTCAGAACAATGTTGGAAGATTCGGTGGAGATGCAAGCATGATCACCTTATTTGGAGAAAGTGCAGGTGCAGCCTCGGTTGGTCTCCATTTGTTATCGCCCATATCACGCAACTTCTTCACGCGTGCCATTCTTCAAAGTGGTGCCCCAGATGCACCGTGGGGATTTACTACAGCACCAAAGGCTATGGGCAGCACTAGAAGACTTGCAGAGCTGTCGAACTGTAGTGCATATTCCCATGCTGACATTTTCCAATGCATCCGAGTTCTACCACCAGAAACGGTAATACAAACTCAAGCACTCGTTCCTATTGATGGTTCTGCACAATTCAGTCCAGTCGTGGATGGTCATTTCTTACCCGATTCTCCAGCATCACTCATTGAAAAAGGACAAATGAAGCAAGTGGAAATCCTTCTGGGGGTGAACAAAAATGAAGGCGTCGGAATGCTCATGGGGATTTTGCCTACAATATTTACTCCATTTACAGATCAACTTAATGTCAACAGAACACAATTCCTAACGACTGTAAAAGCCCTAACCAGTGTGCAGCCGTCTGCCATTTTCAAAGCTATTTCCGCTCAGTATGCTGATATCTACGTCCCTTCTTTACATCCAAACTACCTGGACAGTGCTGACGGCGTCCTAGGAGACAATTTCTTTAAGTGTCCAGCTACCAAACTAGCTGCTTCACATTCTGCAAATAACAATGTTTACTTGTATTCCTTTGAGTATAGGATCCCATCGTTGCCACTACCACAATGGATGGGAGTTGCTCATACGTTCGAGATAGAATCGGTGTTTGGACATCCTCTCGGGGATGCGTTTACTTCGACAGATGTGGATAAGTCAATAAGTCGGAGCATGATGACTTACTGGACGAATTTTGCTAAAACTGGGTAAGTACTTTTTATTGTAGATATGAGAGGAACCGTGGTGTATATTCGACAGTGAATGAACAGGTGTGCCTGTTAGTTGTTTATCATGTTGTATATTTGACAGTGATATAACAAAATATTTGCAATCTTATGCTGCTTGGCTGCTTGGGTAACATGACTTGTGACATAAAGGTGAGGTGAGGTGAAATTGGGTTTAACGTCGTTCTTGAGAATATTTCGCTCATATGACGACGTGCATGCGTGTGTATGTGTATTTGCGGCTGCTTGTACTAACCCAGACTTAAGCTGGTTTTATAGCGCTAGCTCACTGAGATACCATGCCGCAGTGAAGCATGAATACCCCACTCAGACACATTATACTGACTCCGAGCCGACCAGTCCTTGTTGTACCATTAATGTTAAGCGCCAGGCAGGGACCAACAAGTACCATATTTTAACGTCTTTTGGTATGACGCGATCGGGGATCGAACCCGCAACCTTCCGCTCTCCGTGCGGACGCTCTAACCACTACACCACGGAGGTGGCAGTGACATAAAGACGGGAGATAATCTGGGCTGCTTGGTTAACATGACTAGTGACATAAAGACGGGAGATACACTGGGCTGCTTGGTTAACATGACTAGTGACATAAAGACGGGAGATAAACTGGGCTGCTTGGTTAACATGACTAGTGACATAAAGACGGGAGATAAACTGGGCGACGGGAGATAAACTGGGCTGCTTGGTTAACATGACTAGTGACATAAAGACGGGAGATAAACTGGGCTGCTTGGTTACCATGACTAGTGACATAAAGACGGGAGATAAACTGGGCTGCTTGGTTAACATGACTAGTGACATAAAGACGGGAGATAAACTGGGCTGCTTGGTTAACATGACTAGTGACATAAGGCACGGAGATAAACTGGGCTGCTTGGTTAACATGACTAGTGACATAAAGACGGGAGATACACTGGGCTGCTTTGTTAACATGACTAGTGACATAAAGACGGGAGATAAACTGGGCGACGGGAGATAAACTGGGCTGCTTGGTTTACATGACTAGTGACATAAAGACGGGAGATAAACTGGGCTGCTTGGTTAACATGACTAGTGACATAAAGACGGGAGATAAACTGGGCTGCTTGGTTAACATGACTAGTGACATAAAGACGGGAGATAAACTGGGCTGCTTGGTTAACATGACTAGTGATATAGAGACGGGAGATAAACTGGGCCGCTTGGTTACCATGACTAGTGACATAAAGACGGGAATGAACCAGAACAGAAGTTAGAATGAATCGTTATTTGTGAGAGCTCTTAGTAGGCGGCCTTATCCACTGTCTTGATCCGAGTATCCATTGGGTATTCAAGTTAAACGTCTGCATGTTGTCGCTGTGGGGTAGCACTTTCGAAAATAGCAAGCGCTTCCTTCGCCAGGAAGTCCCGGTGTCCTCATTTATTTTCATTCATAAGACTTTCACAGTTTGTTTGCCTTTATATTAAATGAAATCTGATTCTGAGAATAACTGGGTATTTGCACTGACTTCACATATTTCCAAGGGTGTGTGGTTACCTCCCTGGGAAACAATTGGCCAAACATCTAGATCTAGGAACATAAGCAAGTAGAATGTCTGTCCACTATGGCGATATTCCAACATGTGCTGAAATATCTCTAACTAACCAAACTGATCTCCAAATAGGTACAATGTGTGAAGTCCATTTGTGGTGTCCCCCGCCATGATATTGCAGTAATAATGCGAAAACGGCGAAAACCCATACTCACTCACTCACTCACTATAGAAGTTAACCACGTTAATATCGTTTTCTATCGAATCTCTGTAACACCCATTCCGTGTGAAATATGCGAGGTGGGTGTTACGAACAGAAAACATCCATATCAAGAAAGAGAGAGAGAGATATCGAGAGAGAGAGTTCTATATAGTAAAGGACCACATGCCCAGTGTACATCAGGTGTACAGAATATAAAGTTCATATACATCACGCCAGTAACAACCATCGTGTATAGATCCATGTCAGCTTAGTACCTTTTCTCTGATTGGTCAATTTCATTTTGTGGTGTAATGAGAAATCCATATGTTGTGTGTTTTCTATATAAAGATGGATATTAGTAATTGCTAAATGTTTTGTAAGGATAACTTACTAATTGCACAAGCAAGTGGAGAAGTGTTATGTTGAAAGGTAGTCTAATCATTTTCACAGAAACCCCAACCTTCCGAAAACACCAAACTACCAATGGCCTACGTACAACTGGATGGATGAACGTTTCCTTGTCTTCTCCTCGTCCGGACTGTCCACAGAGCAGGGCATGAGAAAGCAGCAGTGTGTGTTTTGGAACACTCTCATGCCGTTGATTCAAAAGACCCAAGACACATCTACAGGCAGTAAGTTTCATTTCTTCTTTTGCATATGTATGTGTCGTAGAATTAGGATGACCTTGATGTAGTCAGGCGTCTCAACGACCGAACTCCATCGGACATTCGGAAATCGGGGCTTTGATTCTATCTTAGAGTACCATAGCTATTTGTTTGAAGAAATGGTTGCAATCGATGTAGATGATACAGCCCATCATATTTAGCTGTTAATAGCAAATTGGTAATTTCATTTGGGCATTCCAATGTTTCTACAACTTAATCGGGAAAGAGATCATTTGTTTTAATGGAAAAAATCTTTTCATTTTACTATGGCACTAATATGCTTCCATGTTATAGGCCTGATGGGGAGTGTGATATGACTCCCGAACAGAGACTGTAACTTACATAATATAGTCATTGAGGACCTTTCTGAAAAGAAGCCGTAACTTACATATTGAGGACCTTTCTGAACAGAGACTGTAACTTACATATTATTTTCCTTCGGGACCTGTCTGAACAGAGACTGTAACTTACATATTATAGTCATTGAGGACCTTTCTGAACAGAGACTGTAACTTACATATTATAGTCATTGAGGACCTTTCTGAACAGAAACTGTAACTTACATATTATAGTCATTGAGGACCTTTCTGAACAGAGACTGTAACTTACATATTATAGTCATTGAGGACCTTTCTGAACAGAGACTGTAACTTACATATTATAGTCATTGAGGACCTTTCTGAACAGAGACTGTAACTTACATATTATAGTCATTGAGGACCTTTCTGAACAGAGACTGTAACTTACATATTATAGTCATTGAGGACCTTTCTGAACAGAGACTGTACATATTATAGCCATTGAGGACCTTTCTGAGCAGAGACTTACATATTATAGTCATTGAGGACCTTTCTGAACAGAGACTGTAACTTACATATTATAGTCATTGAGGACCTTTCTGAACAGAGACTGTAACTTACATATTATAGTCATTGAGGACCTTTCTGAACTGAGACTGTAACTTACATATTATAGTCATTCGGGACCTTTCTGAACAGAGACTGTAACTTACATATTATAGTCATTGAGGACCTTTCTGAACAGAGACTGTAACTTACATATTATAGTCATTGAGGACCTTTCTGAACAGAGACTGTAACTTACATATTATAGTCATTGAGGACCTTTCTGAACTGAGACTGTAACTTACATATTATTTTCCTTCGGGACCTGTCTGAACAGAGACTGTAACTTACATATTATAGTCATTGAGGACCTTTCTGAACAGAGACTGTAACTTACATATTATAGTCATTGAGGACCTTTCTGAACAGAGACTGTAACTTACATATTATAGTCATTGAGGACCTTTCTGAACAGAGACTGTAACTTACATATTATAGTCATTCGAGACCCTTTCTTAACTGAGACTGTAACTTACATATTATAGTCATTGAGGACCTTTCTGAACAGAGACTGTAACTTACATATTATAGTCATTGAGGACCTTTCTGAACAGAGACTGTAACTTACATATTATAGTCATTGAGGACCTTTCTGAACAGAGACTGTAACTTACATATTATAGTCATTGAGGACCTTTCTGAACTGAGACTGTAACTTACATACATATTATAGTCATTCTGAGGACCTTTCTGAACTGACAGAGACTGTAACTTACATATTATAGTCATTGAGGACCTTTCTTAACAGAGACTGTAACTTACATATTATAGTCATTGAACTTTACATATTATAGTCATTCGGACCTTTCTGAACAGAGACTGTAACTTACATATATTATAGTCATTGAGGACCTTTCTGAACTGGACTGTAACTTTCATTGAACTTTCTGAGAGAGACTGTAACTTACATATTATAGTCATTGAGGACCTTTCTGAACAGAGACTGTAACTTACATATTATAGTCATTGAGGACCTTTCTGAACAGAGACTGTAACTTACATATTATAGTCATTGAGGACCTTTCTGAACAGAGACTGTAACTTACATATTGTAGTCCTTCTGAACAGACTGTAACTTACATATTGTAGTCATTCGGGACCTTCTGAACAGAGACTGTAACTTTTGTAGTCCTTCGGGACCTGTCTGAACTGAGACTGTAACTTACATATTATAGTCATTGAGGACCTTTCTGAACTGAGACTGTAACTTACATATTATAGTCATTCGGCAGCTTCATTCTGCTAAAAAAAAACAACATTTTGTTGAACTGCAAACGTTACTCCGTAGCATGGTGGTCATATGAGATTAAGCTAGTAAACAATCGTGGTATCTGATTAAAACTATCAAACAACAATCAAAAGCATTGTTCTTTCTGAAACCATGTCTGAAGCATTCCTAATTCTTCTGTTTCAGCAACAACTGAGGTTAACAGATGTCACACCAGTGGAAGCAGGATGTCATTTACTGTGAACACGTGTCTCATTGCTGTACTTGCAGCATTAGTGAGTGTGTAAACATGGAGCGATATCCACAATGTATTCACTGAAAAATCACAAAACAATTTCCGAGAAGCGAGGCTCGTGTTACATATCATGGGATAACACAAAGCTTTTTGGGGTTACTTTTGGCTTCCGAGAGAAAAATCCAATTGAAAACTGTTGAATAGATGCAGAATCGATTAGATTTATCGATTACTGCCTCTTTTAAATCCTGAATTCAATTGCCATTTCTTCATTTTGTACAGCTTATTGGCCATTATATTTATACGCGTTTTGCACGTAGCCTCTTTTATTGTAAACATCTAGCTTTTGTCATCTAAACATTATATTTACATACCTATTTCTCGTAGCCGCTTTCATGTGTGATTTGCTCTGTACCATTGTGTACATTTATAGGACAACCTATTTCAGTTAAGTTTACATGCATATACGTCGGTATGATTTGTAATGCCTATGTACGTCAGTGGCATAGGGATGTGTTATGACTATTTAGATTTGAATCCCTAACACAATCACTAAAAATCAATTTGTTGTACACTAAGTACTTGATGCTGTTTTTCATTTTTAGCATAGTTTATACTGTTATATCACTTGTGATGGAAATTCTACCCATTTCCCTCCGAATTGTAGTTATAGGCACTGTCATCAAACTGTGGGCGTCTCGGGGGTTAAACAATAAATTAATATAATAGTTTCATAGCGGGTGGAGTAGGTTAGGTAGTTGGGTGGGCGGCTGACGTAGTACCTACCTTTGTAGTTCTATATGTAGAAGCTTAGGCCCATGCGGACCGATGTCACGCGCATGGCCGCCATCTTGAGGAGACAGGACGATGTCACGTGGTGCGATGTCGGCTTCTTGCACTAGGTAGGGAATCGTCAGTCGTCCGATACCCGCATCGGGTAAGTTCTCTGCGATCGCGAGTCTTGTATCAAGACCAGATTAAGTTTCCACTTATTGTTTATTGTTTTTATTGTCGTGTTGATTTAGTGATAGCTTGGGAAGGGGGAGAAATAGCATAAGAATAAGTAGGTTTTATCTTGTTATTTTCGGGAGTAGGCATAAGGGGTGGACATAATCAGCAGTTTATCGTATGTTGAGTAGGATTTAGGTAGGTTGGGAGGGGGAGAAATACGTAGGATTGTTTGCTCTGAATATTGGCTTTGATTTAACTGTCTCATTCATTTATTTTTCTAATAAACAAGAATGGAAACATAATACTCTTTTGTTGTGACTTTCATTGAGTTTAAGTTCGGAAAACCTGTCAGGAATCACTCACACAGAACCCGCAGACAAGATGTACTGACCACGCCAAGAGGCCAATTCTAAAACACAAAGCAAAGCATAACATATCAGTAGCCAACCGACACTTGTCGCACATCCGCAGCGTTCTGCTGTCACTGGGCGTCTATTTTACACCACTCACGCGCTAGGCGCCTATTACAGAACCATTGATAAAATATACTGGAATAAGGATACATTTGGATGTGACAATATATCAATCGTCCTTTCACGTCGACACATCACATGTTCATGTATTGGATGCCTTTTTTCTAGACATATGATGTAAAATAAACAAATTATATTCGATTCAGTTGCTGGTTTCCTTTACAGTCAGTATAGTCGAGATGTCTGGCTTGATATTACATGCATTGATGAAGATGGCCAAATCCAGTTCTTTCCCATTGAAGGTTTGGCCAAATCCAGTTCCTTTCTGTGGAAGGTTTGGCTAAGTCCTGTTCGTTCCCGGGAATGGTGTGCCCAATTCCAGTTCTTTCTCTGGAAAGGTGTGTCTAAGTCGACATCTTCCCCGGAAAGTTTTGCTAACAAGATTTCAAACAGAACCATATGACTCTTGTTCATATATATTTGATCAAGGTTACAGCATTCAAAACCTCAATAAAGTTTTCAAAACGTTTTATGTTAGATATGAGTGGGACACAGAACTTGGTACAACTTGGTTTTCCTTCATGTGAGAGACATTTCCCATTTTGACACATTCGTGACCGAAGGTCTGATGCAATTCCCAACTTTGACTTGTACCATACGTTCACACTGACTAGCCTTGCATTCATTTTTGAAGGGTGCAACCGGTGGGGTGGGACAGTATATTGTCGCGAACATCTGGTATCAATCAATCAGTTTATTGCATGAAGGCCAGAGGCCCATATACAAAATAAATATGCATGATATATACAACATATACAACATGCGACACACACGTTACATTGAATCTCTTCTCAATATAAGCGCGTGATAAATAAATAGAGCTACCTTATATTGTAATAGGGATGCTTTACATGAAAGTATTGAATACAGTTTTGTAGCATTAATATTTGATTGTAGCCATTGTGGAAAATACAGTTGCCTTAAATCATTATATGCAGGACAAAGAAATAAAAAGTGTAATTCATTCTCTACAGTATTACAAAATGGACAGAACCTTTGTGATTTTATAATAGATGAATATCTTCCTTGATTGATATATAAATCATTTAGGCCAAGTCTCAGGCGTATGAAAACATTACGAAGCTTTTTACTACGTAAGTTGTATAGATACGACTCAGGTTCAAGTAAAGATTTAAACTCACGATAACAATCATATCTTGAACTTTCATATAAAGATGAATGCCAGTCTTGTTTAAAGATATCGATAGCCCTGGTACGAAAGAGTTTGATAAATGCATTAACGTCGCCCAGGGTTTGGGATAGCCAAACAAATCCAAAGCCGTATCTAAACAAAAGATTACGAATACGGGTTGCCCAAGTATTTTTACCAATATTATCAAGATGGACAATCATATTGTAGGTTTTTTGGCAGACGATGTTCTGGCATATTTATTACTTTACACCAGTACTTTAAACAGCGAGAGTAAGAAATTATGTACAAAGGAAATCTCCCACATTCACCGTACACCATATTATTAGGGGTAGACATCCCAACATTTAAAACCTTTTACATGCAAGAAGGTGAACCTTTTCAATGGCATAAAATTCCTTATTGCCCCAAATTTCAGACCCATAAAGAAGAATAGGCTGTACTTGGGAATCAAACAATTTGAAAAATATATTGGGACCAACAACCCCCAACTTTGGTATAACAGAGAGCAATTGAAGTAGGGCCCTTTTCCGCAGAATCAAAAGCCTTTCTAAAATCAACAAAAGCTGCATACAATTTTCTTTTACGAAAAGCTAAACATCGCCCAATTACTGAGTATACAGTAAAAATATGATCAAAGGTTGAGTATTCCTTTCTAAATCCAGCTTGTGAATCTGGAATCAAGTCCGTCATATTTGTCCACTGTGTTAGCCTATTATTGATAATAGATACAAATGTTTTACCAACAACACTTGTCAGAGAAATGCCCCGATAATTGTTAGGCTTATTTATGTTTCCATTCTTAAATAATGGAACAATTATTGATTTAGCCCATTCAGACGGAAAACATCTAGAATCAAATATCCGATTAAAGCTTTTAACTAGAAACGGCATTATCTCAGGCAAGGCAGTTTTGATCATCTCTGAAATAACACCATCCACACCAGCAGACTTTCCAACGTTAAGACGAGATACAGCATCAACTATTTCTAATTCTGTAATAGGAGACACAAGTAGAAACTTATCAACGTCACTAAACTCGTTACATCCATTATCTGTATCTATTGTGTCATCATGTACATCATAGATAATATCGTCCTTAGAAAACAAGTCCCTGAAGTGGTAAAACCATTCTGTTTGTGATATACTTGATACGGGTGGGGAGCCTCTTTGGAGGGTGCGAATATTTTGCCAAAACAGCTTTGGACTGTGGAGGGCACTATTTAGTCGACATAGCCTTGAGTTTTGCACTCCACGCTTAAAAGCTCTACAGGAACGCTTATACTTATTTCTAATTTTACAAAAGCTCCTACGTTTCTGCTCAGTGCGACAACGCCTAAACCGCCTAAGAGCCTTCCTGGATTCCGATCTAGCTACATTACACTCCTTGTTAAATTTAAGTTTACGATTTAGATCACCTTGTCTAAACTGTCTCCTCATACAAGATGCCGAATCTAATATACACTTTATGAAATTGTCTATACCCTCTTCAAGAGAAGTCTCCAATTTACTAAATATTGACTCATTATTGGCATCCAAACTTTCTCTGAAAGAACTTATAAATTCATTCTGCTTAGAAGCATCCCATACAAGTTTACTAAAACTAGGAATCTCAGCACAATCAACTGTCCGGTTAGACCGGTATGTACAAGGAAACCTGAACGACAACTCCAGAGGAAAATGGTCAGAATCGCCAACATTTAACTTTTCTACGAACTCAACAAATCAGCAGCTGCAAGAAAATAATCAACGACACTTGAGCCATTTGCTCCAACAAATGTAAACTCTGCACATCTGTCTCCTTCTACTCTATCGTTCATTATGAACAAGCGACACGCATAACACAGATTCAGTAGTACACGCCAAAATCTGTTAACGATACTGTCATGTGACACACGCTGGTGAACAGGAGCATTATCTACATTTGTATAGACATCATCATTACCAAATTAATCACGATCTTCGCAAATAGGATTATTTTCATTACTAGTACGAGCATTAAAATCGCAACATAGCAGTACATGCGAAGTAGACATATCAGACCAGTTGTCTAATGAAAACGACTCCAGTCTTTCAATGAGACATCTTGAATCAGTACTTCGGTCGGGAAATGGAGAATTCACAGGGGGAACATATATACAAACAAGAAATAAGTCATTTGGTAAATTAAATACAAATCTCTGGAATTTCAAACACACTAAATTGTTGATTTCAGTCTTCAGTTCAACACATTTGTTTGCAATGTCCTGTCTCATACATACACACACGCCACCTGAGTGTCTGCCAGCTTAGCTGCTGGGGCGAAAAACAATTGGTATCTTGTTAACCAGCTTAGATTCATGAAATCTGTTATGAACGTTTCCAGCAAACATACAACGTGAAATGAATAAAGATAATCAATAGAATCCCTGTCATCAAGTTTCTTCAATAGTCCATGACTGTTCCAAGATAAGAACGTCACATGATTAGTACTACCGGTGTCTATGTTCGTAGTTCCCTCAGTGAAACGATCTGGGTCCTGGCCTGATTGCTACATCCTCTTCTGTCCACCGCGCTGAGACTTACTTCTTGGTGGTGTTCTCGTTCTCTCGGGTGTCTCCGTTTCGCGTGGTCAAGATATGGTTACTGATCTACATGACTTTCTCCTAAAAGGACTGCAGTCACAGCCAGCTATGTTTGTAGTGAGTGAGTACGTGATAACATATCGGCAGTACTTCAGCCACATCGTGACTATGAGAGTTGTATGATAAATTGTAGTAATGTAACTATTAACGTGACTGAATTGACACGTAATGCTCCCTTAAATACCGAATGTAAACAACTGCTCCATGTGTACCCCAATGCATGATGGGACTATTACGTCATCGGGCCATGTGCTTCCCACCCAAGTATTTATGCTACATCCGACCGCAATAAAGCTGCTGCTCTCCAAGTCGTGTCGTG